TTTTCGAGTTTAATCGGCAAATTATAATAATTATTTATTTATGTTCTTATAATGATAAAATAAATTAAAAATATAAATGATAAGTAAGAAACAATAAATAACTAATATAATATCAAAATATTAATTATTAAAATTAATAACATATTCTGATCGAAGAGTAAATATACTGCAATACTATTACAGAAATACAGTATCGTGTTCTCAATTTATTTTTCTTTATTTTAATATTTAGTAGGAATGTGCCTAAAGTTTGAAAACTGAATTTTGAATTAATCGTTAAGAAAATATTTATTGATTGGCACTTTGGAAGAATTATTAAGTGATATTAAAGCAGCTAGTTAAGCGTAAGGTAAGACTAAAAAACAATTGCGAAGAAATGGTCAAATTTAAGACACACCCGTTTTTAATGAAATCAAAAATTATAGTTAGTAGTTAGTAGTTACTCTGTTGTAATTCAGAAACACATAGTCGAAGAAACAATAGTAGAAATTGAATAACAATGAGATAACTTCAAATTCGTAATTCAATAAACKTTATAATAAAATCATAATATTTTAAAATGTAATATATGTCTAGCGAAAATGTATGAAATTTTATAATTAATAACATATCTTAATTAGCTGTTGATTGTACGTAAGTCCTAAAAAGTAACACTAAAAATAATATTCGAATAGGTACCTATTTATTTATTTTTTTATGATTTCAGCTGCTAAATCCAACTACTTAAWTCATTTATAATATAAATTGTAAATTTTAATATTATTATAATCGTTAGTTATTCTATAAATTACCAATGAACTTAATAAAAATAATGATATATATATATTATAAATTAATTATGTTTAACCCTTTCCCCGTAATAAACCCAAGTTCAAAATTCATCGACGTGTTACATCTACGTAAATCGTATAAGCATGTTAGTGAATATTGTACAACAATTAATTATGTATAATTATTATAAATTAAAATTCGTTAATATTAACGAAAAACAATACTTACAATTTTATTGATATTTAAAAGCCGATCGAATAGACGCTGTAGAAACATCCTAACTCATGAAGTTATCAGCCACATGGCCACAAAATTAGCCTAAAAACCATACAATTTATTAGAGTTTTTTCATCGATATAATTTATAATGAATMCATTTACCAGAATTTATTTTTCTTATAAAATAAATTGTTAAAATATTATTAAACCCGGATAGTGTAATAATGTAATTGGTACTGATGTCTGATAACCGAAACTCGTTGACCAGCCAGACACCAGCAGCTGATACTTAAATTGATACCGCATAAGCGTTACCAACTGTTTAAAAATATTTGTTGTTTTTTAAAAACACAATATTAAAACCATAGAGCATTAAAATTTAAAACTAATATTTTCCTATACACGGAATTCCAAAAATTAATACATCCAAACATCCTACTACCCAGTGGCGTACGCAGGATTTTA